CTGGTGAGCCAGGGCGTTCACCTTCGTCTGCCTACAGACATACGGAAGTGCGACCGGTATGTTGGTCCAGTTTTTATTGTTGAAAACTGTTTATTCTATAATCTCAACCCGAGCAAGGGCAGCGAAAGTTGACGGTATTGGTGGTTATTTCAAGAACTTTGAATTTAGCTTATCGGTCGCTAGGTTAAGTGGTTATCAACTGATTTACTTAGTAGGTACTATGGAGTGTAGGTTTTAAGTTTTTATTTTACGCCATTTTCATCGGAGGTAAATCAACCAATGAGAGCGTCAATGGTTCGAAAAGCATTTTCATGTTCAGTCTGGATTCTAAATTAGACGTTAAGGTTGTCTTATTAATCGCTAAGATAGGATAGGATTTTGTTTTATCTAATTAGTTAATGGAGCCTTTGCTGGAGTAATGTGCGTTTACCCTTTAGAGGATATTGACCTTTATTTCATAACTTTATTAGTAAACAAAATAATGATTAGTAGTCCTTATACTCATCACTATGCGCGTCACTTAAGGATGACTGGATCGGTTTGGGATTTTATGACATTGATCGTTAGAGTCAGTAAAAGGTTCTAGGGAAAAACAAATTCGAGAACGGGGAAAGTCGAGGAAAAGCTGAATACGTTTTTTCTACGGGATTTTTGTGTAGGTATGAACTGTGGTTTGGATATCATTTGCTACCCAAACTAGTTCATACTACAATGACAGTTTTTTTACTAGGAAGGCAAGGTTTGTGCTTTACGCTATTATACATTCTCGTATTGACCTTAGCAGTTTGGCAGAAGCCTAGTTATTATTATGGTATGTCAGTTGAGAACGAATTTAGTGAGCTGTCGACACTAGAGGAAGGAAAAAGCTACTACAGGAAGGTAAAAGAAAGAGCTTCCAAAGTTCATTGTACTTGTAGGTACTACAAATAAAAATACACGAGTTTTATATCTTGGATGAATCATGTAACATAGAACGATTACATTTTGGATTTCTGAGAAAAAAGTTGCAGGCGCTTGCTATTTACCTCAATTAACGTATTTATAAACTATTTGTTTATAACGTTATCAAAATGGTTATTTAATCAAATATCCGTTAAGAAGACACCGTTAACGGGTTTTTCTTATTGGTTCAACCTGATGCGCTAGACGTACGACAAATGTAAGTACCTATATTGGAATTTATCCTGCCATTAGGGATTTCTATGTGTAATGTCTTGGTACATTGGTTTGGGTTACCAATTTGTTGATTGTTTACCTGGATGTATTTAACTACGAAGTACCTACATAATGTTAACTTAAAATTAGGCGTAACTTTTTTATGATTATTTTACAAATTATGGCTTAATTTTTATCAAATATCAGTTTTTCTTTTTTATATTATGATGTAATACGTTAATGATATTATGATATTCATTTATGGATAAAAAACTCATGCTGGTTTCAATTAAATTCAGTTTTTCTTTTTTTTTGTCCTATACGATAAATACTTAAGTTAATGATGTTCATTTATGAATAAAAAATCATGCTGGTTTCAATTATATTCAAACTCATAGATAAAGTTAGTGTTGAACGAGTTCAAGGTATGTAATATCTAGTAAATACCTATTATGTTGATTTGTCTGTCGTTTTGTTGCGATCCACGACTCTACCGCGTAAGGAAAAGTGACGTAATTACGTAGTAATTTTTGACATTTCCGAGTTATGAAGGCCTAAATATATTTTATGTAATTTTAGGCTAATTATAATAATTTGAGATCAGAAATAATTTGTGAGTTGTAATAGGTAATTTCCGTCATGTACAAATGTGGATGCGCCGTGGATTACTGAAACTCAATATTGGAAAATGATTTCAGGTGAACTTTTAACAATATCCTTTTGTAATAGTTTTCTCTCTATAAGTAGGTATATAATTTACGGTAAATCCACAGCTGGGCAAAGTTCTCCCTCAAAGATTTCCACAACAAACGGTCCAGCGCAGCCCGCATCCAGTTTAACCTGGATATTTAAATAGCATGCAAGTAAGTAAATAATAAATTAGGTAGGTATTTATAAAAATATTTTTCTATTATGATACCAGACAGTTGGTAGAGTCAAGTTTTGGGAATTTATTCCTGATATCCTAATAAAGATATCAGGAATTACGTTTGTTTAATATATCAGGAAATTATAATACAAGTTTGTTTATTATTTTAGTAGCTACTTTAGTAATGAACAGAAACTTTTAGATTCAGTTTCTACTAAGGCACGTTTAAATCATTCACTACAATCGACAGTATGTCAACCTCATTTGCTTGTATTTGAAAGTGATATAAAAATAAATTGTCCGTTACACAATCTACAGAGGTCACAGAAATTTGCTTGTTGTTTATATCAATTATAAAACGCTGTTAATATATTTATTGACGTTTCCTAACTTTATTATTTATTTGTTTTATCGATCAATAACATAGTAAGTAGTTTATTGTGTAGTAAATAATGACGAGTGTAAAAATATATGGACAGTAAAAAGTCATAACATTTTTAGCACCATTTTTTTACGTCAGGCAATGCTTTGCGCATACCCACTGGTCGATGGGGACGGCCAGTGGGGTAATGTGGGACTCTTCCCGTCTACCCACTAAAGGCGGGGCCTTCCCACTAAAACCCGACGGGTTCCACCACAGCCCAAAGAAACGGAGCCGGGAGTTATTGTCTTAGTTGGACATTCGTCCGCAGCTCCGCCTCAGGCTAGAGGCTCGCTCACGAGCGAGCCTCTCTGGCTTCCAGGGAACCCCCAATCCCCTCCTCCACTTGTTTTTATAGAGGTTTTCTCCTAGCGGCCCTGGTACGACAGGACCCCCGGCCCGCCGTAGCGGGATACTGTCTGCTCTATGCCGCTGCTCAGTCTGCTCTGCTGATCAGAGAAGTAGAGCGGCCCTCCAAAGAATGGGAAAGCACACCCCACCGGTGACCGACGGTTGTGAGCCTTATCAATGTCTTATTTTTTGGCAGTTCCGAATTTTTCGACAACTGTCTTAAATTATCTGTTCATAAATGCTATCATCATGATGAGAGTTATACCCGTCACAAGACGGGATTCAACGCCACAACGCGTCGCTGTCTGGCACGCGGTTGACAATCCATAACACTTATTTACTCGTTTTTTAAAGATTAAATCTTTATTGCATGTTAAGTATGTGATGTTCAAATGGTGGACTTAATGCCGAGAGACATTCTGTACCAGTCAACCACAGGTCATTTAAGAAAACAAGGCGGTACAAAATTAGAACAATTCAATCGTATATCTATCTCTGAAAGCATCCCACTTACACTGACCTCCAAAATGCGAATATGGTCTCGTTTCAGTTTTTCTGAATAAATTTAACTGTAATTTGACGGTCATTCTAACACATAGGTACCTTGATAACTTTGTGATTAACCAAATATGAACTTATCATGGCAAGGATAAACCAGGGGCAAAAAGCATTAGTTTGGAATAATTTTGTTTGATTAACTTACCATATATAAGTAAGAGCTTAATCGTTTTCCAATTAGTGGCCAAGGTCAAGATGGACGCAGGAATACTGACATGTCATGCATAAATATTGAATAGGTGTTGCTATGTGTTATATTGAAAAATTCTTATGAAACTCGATCTATATTCGGATTTCGTTTCAGTTTATTCAGTGATGATTGAGATGAATAATGTTACCATCAGACGTAGTGTAGCCCACGTTAGTCCACCGCTGAGCATATAGGCACTATTATATGATCGTGGACCGAGATGGGTACACACATAAAAATATAGTAATAGTTGCATTCGTATGTATGTGTATGTATAATATTTGGGCAATGACCATAAGTTGTTTTCTCATCAGCCAGATAGTTTTGACAGTTCCAACTCCTTGCCAGACAATCTTTTGAGGGTAGCTGCCAAAGCCACGATGACCCAAACTTCATGATGCACCAACATTCTTACCTATATTGGGAGCATTGAAAAACTTTCAGCTTTTATAATAATGACGTATGTCTGGCGCTCGCTAGCTCTTATTCCATTAGGTTCGATTCCTGGGAGTGTTAACAATTCCAACATCTGGCGCTAATTTATTTTAGAGAGATTAAAAGGAAGTCTAATTAAGATGTTAAGTTTAAGAAATAATTAATAATTTATAAGTAACTTAAATTAGCCTACTTACTCGTATATGGAGCTTGTTGTTATTATATTACTTGCTAATTAATAATTTATTCGGTTCACATGATTATCTTATTAAGTGCGATAATGTTACGGAAAAGAAATACATAATATCCTATTACATGTCTCGCGTGAAGTCTTTGCCTATTTATGGAAAACCTATACAATCAAATATAAAATTTCTTTATAACTAAGATAATTTACATTGCTACATCCTAATTGTTAAATGATTACTATTAATAGCTACAAGCCAGCGGTGTTATAATTAAATAAAAATAAGTAGTTAGATAGATAAGGCACATGCTACAATTTTATTACTTTCAAAACTAACAGGTGTTTAGAATTTATTACAAAACATGAATCGAGCTCAGCTGCATCTAGGAAGCTCATAAATATTTATATCTATGTTTATTTCCTTTACATGCAATTTATTTTAATGAAGATGTAAGCCAAATTGGATTAAAATTCAGTTTCAGTTTTTACATGAGAGTTCCTTTCATAAAAACATCTCATTTCATAATGTTTTTCAGGAGTAAAAAAATACTAATGTTCAAATATAAATCTCTATTACAAAATATTCAATTTAATATGAGGTTGTGTATTTTTTTTTATCATATTACGTTTTGAAGCATCACCAAAACAAAATTTTCAGCCAAAACGTTAACTGGCAGAAATGCCGGCATTAAGTTCGCTTTATATTTTAAAGGCTTTAAAATAAATTAAAAAAAAATTTACTAATCGGGAATAAAAATTTAGGCTTCAAAAACCCGCTGCCAGGAGCGAGCGTAGCAAACTTCCCGCGTGAGTAAGGTCGCCCTCTGTCCTATATAACGACATCTTGCGCCTGCGTCGACTTAAAGCCCAACTCACGCCCCGAGCGCCAACATCAAACTCCGTACGTTAAAAAAATCATTAAAATCGACGCTACGGTCTTGCGAAATACATAGTGGTTGTGATCTATCAGTGCAGTAGGGATTGTACCACCACTTTGGTTGCAGACGGAGTGGTCAACGAGCAGTCAGTCGCCGGCCCGCGCATCGCAGTGCGTAACGCAACCAGTGTACCGTGACAGTGCATAACTTATATACAATGACCAACTACATCAAAATCGTAAGTTTTATTTATTTATATCGTTATAAAAGCTAAAAAAGTTTCATACTTAGTTTAATAAGCTCATTAAAAAAAATAAGTTTCATAGGACGCTTAAAAAAAGCCATACGTTTACTTATTACAAAAGCAAAAAGGATTAAGTATGACCACTTTTGTGAAGTTAATTAGATTTTTTGAGGAAATATAATTTTAATTTGGTTCCTGAAAAAAAAAAAGTTCAAAAGTGTAAAAATTTAACATAAGATCGATTGAATATTAATAACGCAATAATTATGTCATATTAAGTATTTATGTGCATTTTATGTGAAATAGTAAGCTGCGGATCTCGACAATAAATTATAAATTTCAATAGCTACGACCTCATAAACGTTGATACCGATCGTAACTCAGGCTTAACACGACGTATCCTAAGAATGCGAAATTGACAATAATTGTTAAGTATCTAAAGGCCAATTAAAGTGACACTGAGTTGCATTCAAAGTTTTCAAAGTAACAATGGAACACAATCGGGGTATCTTAGTAGGTACCGAACAATAGTTCATCGGACTTGACGTTTGACACCGTTTGCTGGTCACTTCCCACGAGGTTTATACCTCGTTAAAATTATATCACACCATTATTCATTAACTGCAGTTTTCAGACAGTGTAACATTGATGACAGTTATAACATAGACATTGAGGATTAACTACTTCTTATTATTTTATAGAAGTGTGACTTTGTTGTTCAAACACTGGTTTGTTGCACCAGCTGTGACAGTAGAGAACGGATCATGACAACAAAATATAACATTGTTATTTTTCATAAAGTAAAAGTAATTCAAACTTCACATTTAAACATGAATTCAATATTTAATAATTATCGTTTAAAGTTTGATATTTTCCACCGCTTTTCCAGTTACAACTTACAATTAAAGTAACTCTCCTCTCCATAAGTGGTCTGGAAGAGATTGTGTTAGTTACAAACAAGACTGAATAAATTTTGCTTTCTTCCTTTAATACTTTGCGATCTTAAGAAGTAGGTATATGTCTTTGATTTTATCAATACAAATACATCGATGCTTTGTCACAGTCTCGCAATGAAACGGCTTGCCTCAAAGTGCCAGACACCGTACCCAGACAGCGACCCATTCACTGATACAAATCAATATTTACCAATTTACGTTGCGGCGATTACCCAAACTAATTGATTGTCTTTTAATTAGTCATTATGCTCATTAAGTGGGCAGTGTCTAAATCATCTACGAAAGATGGTTCCATCATACTTAATGAAGTTAAACAAATTGCTATACTAACTATTCGGGGAGCGGAGATCGAGTTAATAACATAATAAAATTAATTGTGTGGCAACACTTAATCCATTAAGATTGATTGTATGATCACTATCTGGTACGTTGTTGCCATAAACAAATTAGTAATTAAATGTTTATGGCTTACAATAAACCTTTTTAATGACTGTTTAATAAAATTCGTAATCCTATTAGGAAACTTAGGGCTTCTTCCTGAAAGAAAAGAATATAATAAAAAGTTACGCAAGAAAATTGTTATGCTGAAGAAAGTAATACATAGTTGGAAATTTATAAGTATTTATTCCCTACTTTAAAGTAAAACTAATAAGTTGTCTAACACAGTTTTATAATCGAAAATATTTTACTATAAAATAAGACAAAATAATGCAACTGAAACGAGAATAAAAGCTTATAATAGATAGAGTTCTTTTATCATAAAGACAACTGAACTGAAATACTTTTTGCTACTGAAAGTGCCTAGTTATTTCGGTGAACTGTTTTCATGGTCAAGCAACAGCTATTATTGTTATCTCCAATGCACTCGTTATAAAACGATTTGTGCAAAAAATACCTTTGTTTGGAGCATTTTTAAACTTAAACTAGTAGCGATATTTCAATCAGCTTAGCATTTTCACAAACCAATCAGGATTAGGGGTTTAGTAAACTTTAGAAATGTTATAAACCCATAAAATACATTGATTTTAAAATCAAGCTTTGAATTTTTTTACGGGGATTATACTTACTAATCATAGAATATTAATAAAAGCATTAATTATGAAAGTGTTTGATTATTAACTTACCTACATATTTTACGAGACAAAATATTTTTCATATTATAACGATTACGAGTACATTACTACTAAATTAATAGATTAAGACGTCGTATTTATAGATATGTAATGTGCTGTCAATCAATCAGTAATTTCTTATTAAATTAAGAATGTACTGTTATTATGACATAAAAAGTATTCTATACACATTTTAAAAAATCTTTTCTAGAAAGTCTTTACAATTTACTGGAGTTTAAAGAACTTTTGTATCGATTAATATTATAGATTTGGAAATCTCTCATTATGTATTGTAGAGTATTGATTAATTATTATGTTTACTATAGTAACCTTGTTCAGGAGGATCTATTCAGGTTTATTCGCACCAGTATTTCCTATTTAGGCGAATTTACTATAAGGATATTGTTGTAGATGTAAATCTAAATACTGTCGTAATACGTTCCGGATTTCAACAATTTAGACATTTAAATTTGATACTGTCGTCGAGTTTGCGGATTTCCTCGTATAGACGACAGCACATCTAGTTAATCACTGTGATATCTTATGTCTTACGTCTTATTTTGCAGTAAGAATCTATAGTCTGATGTGCAGTTGATTATATTGTCGTTGACAAACGGAGAAACAATTGACAATCGGTTTACAGTTATGTAGCAATTTTTTTGTGGCATTTCATAGAGTTTTTTTTAGTTATAAAATATCCTTTGAGATTTTGTTTAATTTTAGATGTAAATAGAGATAAAGTCACTTGTGCCTGTTTTCACCATCAATCCTAATTTTTAAGTTACCCATATGAAAACTGTACTTTGTACAGTTTTCATATGGGTAACTTAAAAATTAGGAACTGAAAACTGTACAAAGTACAGTTTATTGCAAGCAAGCAACATTCCTGTTTGTTACCATAGGGGTCACTTAAAAATTAGGGATTGATGGTAAAAAACGGACATAAACCTATTTAACCACGTAACTAGACAACCTATTATTTCAGCGTTGTTCAAAAAATACCGTGTATTCGTAACAGGGTATTTTCCGTAAGAGCAAAGTGCCGTTATTATGTGACTATTTATTACCCTTGTTCTGAATCTAAGTAGGTATGATATCTGCGCTCCGTAAATGTTACAAATGCGGCACTTGTAAAGACGGCTACTGACTAGATCGAGTCAGCAACAGATTTTAACGATAAAAAAATAAAGGGAAAGAAAATTAAAAAAAAAAATCTTTAAAAAATATTTTTTGTTTGTACAGCAAAGTACATCAATGTTATCATCATCATCAATGTGTTTTTTTGGTACCTTATTCTTCCATTTCGGAAAAATGACACAAATGGCGTGTCTTCTAGTAAAATATTACTATTTCAGTTTTACGAGAACGTATCCATTATGTGGCAATTTTATCTGTAACACTTTAATACCTAGTAATAAGGCCTCTTTTTATATGACAAAGGAATCTTAGTTTACTGCCCATCTCCCTTCACTTAAAGCTGGAATTAAATCACGTCTAACGCGAGCTCGTTAGCACTGTTGGAGCCCATTACATTACTTGACAAACTACATGAGAGGCGTAAAATTAATTGATTGCAAAACTTTATACAGGGTGTTAGGGAGAAGTTGGCGTAGGTAGAGTTTTTAACTATGAACAGACTATACCATGTCGTTACCATCTTTTTTACCAGATTTTCTTTTCTTTTTAAATGTGACTCTACAAGGAGCACGCTTTTCATGCAACAGCCTCTCACAAATACAGGTCAAAGAAAATCACAAAATATGCACAACCATTATAAAAGTGTGTATTTATTGCCAGTTGGTGTTGAAAAAATATGGAAAATTCTTAATTCTAGGAAATTGCACTTGCTTTCAAACATCTTGCCTTTGTTTCACATACAACCTGTATAAACATACACTCTGAAATCATGCTTACATCTATAATTTCCACAAGAGTAGAATTAACTCGATAAGATGCTCTAGATCTCAAGATAAGTACGCGATTGCACCTGGTTTGAATAAATTATACTTGGCGAATTCCAGTAGTACAAATAAGCAAGGAAGGCCAAATATTTTGCATTCTAATAACTAGAAGGTGATTACCATCAAGACTTTTTGTCATCATTAGTTTCATGGCGCATCTTATTCGCACCTATGTATCAGTATATATCTACTCATCGGTAGATAATATAAATGTAGAAAATTTATTAGTTATTTAAATAGGTCATGCCCTTCTTCGACTTAAAGTGAGTTTCTTCTCAGCACTTGTTCATTTTTTTAAATTTCTGTACATTTTGTGATAATAGTGGCTAGAGTCGACAGTTACCCTTAGTTTAAATGAGCTTGTTTTGGGGTTACTATTTACTTAGATAGTTACATTGTTTTAATAATGGGTCCATTGCGAAATAGCTGTTTCCATTAAACAAAATTCAAAAGAATGACAGTTAAATGTCATTTTTCAGTTAGTTCTGTCCAATTTTTAAAGTCTAGTGTCTAGTTGCGATGGCACTACTAAGATATTTTGTCGGTTTTCACAATTATATGTAACGTATTAATTGGAGAACGTGTATTTGTTAAGCGTTACTTAACGTATTTTGCTTTTCACTGCTCAAGCTTCCTAGTTGGGAAATGTTTGACATTGTGTACTTGTTTGGATTAAACTTATGCATAACCTAACTGATGTCAGTTATTTCGGCTAGTGTACCTAGTTATTGTAAAATCTTATTTATTGTATTTATTTTTAATTCAATTATGCTCTTATTTATTGCTCGATAACAATATTAATCAAAAATTTTACTCATTCGTTACAAGGTTACTTCCTTTTTGAATATTACATTCAATATTTATATTTTACGGACATTTTTACCAAATAACATTCCCCTTTTAATACTCACTAAAAGTACACAATGAAAAGTCGCCAATAGGAAGTTGCAACGTAAAAGGGCCTA